CAAAACTAAAGAACGGCAGAAAGCAATGGTGCGGGCATGCTGTTATGTTACTGTGCAGTACTACTGATACTACGCAAAAGCAATGGTGCGGTCATGCTGTTATGTTACTGTGCAGTACTACTGATACTACGCAAAAGCAATGGTGCGGGCGTGCTGTTATGTTACTGTGCAGTACTACTGATACTGTGAGACAGTATGTTTAAAGCTATATTTATTTATTTATTTGCTTATTTTTCTAACACAATAATACAGTAACACAATAACATTTACAAGAATTTCTTGTTTTCTCCAAAAAGTTACTGACATGTTACTCTAAGTTACTCCAAAATGTTACTAAAATGAGACTTTTACACCAGCATAAACATAATGTAAATTTAACATTCTTTGGTAACCTAAGACTTTTGCACAGAACTGTCTATATATGCGTGTGTGTGTGTGTTTATTATACACAGCCATGGAAAAAATTGAGACCACCCTATATTTTTAAACAAATCTGCACTGTTAATCCTGGTTTAATTGTAGTTCTGCTAGCAGAAGGCTATGCTGAGCAATAGATTGCTTCCAGGTTCAAAATTTGTAAGACAGCAGTACAAAAGAATGAGGTGAATCAGGAGACACTGGGAATGACCATAAACCAGTCAGGTAGAGGGGGGGAAGTGACTTTCTATTGCCAGAGATGACCGTTATCTTATCCGGCAGTTTCTCATGAATTGTCGGATGACATCAAGTGACCTTCAAAGGAATGGGAAACATTAAGTGCAGGTGTGAAGTGCACTGGTAGGACAGATCATATCAGGCTCATAGAAGTAGGACTGAAGTCCCATAAAGCAAGGAAGAATCCCTTCATTAATGAGAAACAGAGAAGAACTAGATTACAGTTTGGAAAAAACTATATATATTTTTCACAGATGCACTCCCATAAATTAAGAAATAAGTGAAACAAAAAATTGTGCTGTGATCTCTTAAGTTTTTCTACAGTTGTGTGTGTGTGTGTGTACATATATATGATTGTTGTTGTAATGACCTTGAATTGATTAGATTAGAATCGATTACATTACATTAGATTCAACTTTATTGTCATTGCGCAAAGTAAAAATATTCAGACAACGATATGCAGTTTGGCATCTAATCCAAAAGTGCACAACGGTCTCATATGTGAAACCTAATAAACAAGAAATAATATATCTTCATAGTTCCTTGTTAGTCTTAAAATATAACAAATACAAATATTAAAAATAATTCTGATTAAGGTATATTTACATTACAAATATAAATAAAATGCTGATTGCTTGTGCATTTAAGAAGCGAGGCTATAAGACACAACCAAAGCTCTTTGGAATTGCAGTCCATTCTGTGTTCCCCTACCACTCATTCAGGATTCTGCAGAAGACAGAAAGGTGCAGATTCGACTGGCAGACATGTCTCGGAAAAAGAACCAGGGTCTGAGTGACCTTGAGGCAGAAGCCCAACAAAGAGCCCAGTACTTGCTGGAGAAGGCCAATGAAATGAGGATGGAACAAGAAGATGAAGTCAAAAAGCTCAATACGGTACAAGGAACTGCTTCAACTCTCCCTGTTTCTATATGGGAATATGTGTTTGAATGGTGACCTTAAAGAAGTGCTGTCTGGGAGACACATGTCACTCTTGTGTTATTGTGTCGGCCTTACTAGCTCATCGTAGGTGCTCAGTGTCAGGCAGTGCTTGATGCTCAAATTGCAGAAAAGCATCAAATTCACAAGGAGCTGCAGGAAGAGGAACGGCGCCTGGACGCCATGATGGAGGTGGACCGAAGGCAGGCCTTGGAGGAGCAGGATCACGTCAATGAGCTGAACAAGCGGAAGAGGGTCTTGTATGTTGCCTAACATGCTCGCTAGTTCCTGTGACCTTCCCAAGTGGCCTTATGCTTCGAGGTGTGAATGCATTTTGTTTGTCCCCTTAAGAGGCAAGTTACACATCGTCAAACAAATCCAAGAGCAGCTTGACCAAAGGATGCTGCAAGACGAGGTGCGAGCACAGGAGGGTGAGCAGATTCTGAAGGACCTTGAAAAACTGCAAATGGAAGAGCTGCAGGTACAACTCATGGACTCGCCATGGTTAAATCCATACATCCGTATTATGTCTAAAAATATTATATTTTACGTATAAAAACATCTGCTGACATTCCTCCAGACCCTCCAACGCAGAAGAGAGGATCAGCGGCAACTGCTTCTGGAAATCCAAAAAATCAATGAACAGAGCCTACGGGCTAAAGAATGCAAGAAAGAAGAGGAGAAGCTGGCTGACCTGCATGCCTTGGAATATACGCGCCAGAAAATGGTAGGAGATGCCAATGAGCAGGTAGATCGGTAGAAATGTGAGAAAATGGTGGAGGAAAGACTAATACTAAGAATGTACTGTGGATTGACTAGCTAATTTAACCAGGTAACAGTTGCTGAGAACGTTGGTCTGAAAACACAGGAGGAAACGTTAAAGGTGGCAAAGAATGAATGGGTTTACGAGGGATTATCATGTGATGGCAGGAACGCGAGGCGGAGTATGAGGCCGAACAGCAGCGCATTAAAAAGGAAAAGGAGAAAGAGGTGGCACAGCTACGAGCCCTGCAAGAAAGGGAGCGCGACCACCGGGCCGAACAGGTCACACCGATACCGTACGAAGCAGGACCTAAGTATCAAAGTGAAAATCAGGCCAAACGGTAAATATGTCCTGCTTCACCAACAGGATGAGCTGCGTGCCCGGAGGAACCAGGAGGCAGCCGAAAGGGAGTGGCGCAAGAGGGAAAAGGAGCAGGCCCGCAAGAAAGTGGAAGAGCAGGAGAGGCTGAAGGCAGAGCGTCAGCAGCAGATAATGCAGAAAGAGCGCCTCCTGTCCATCGAGGCCGGCCGCAACCGCGCAGAATTTGAGAGGGTCTTAAGGTGAGGTAAACAGCTAACTAGGCGTCAAACAGTAAAGCAGAACAAGCCAGCTCCACTTTTGCGTCTGAATATCTTTTACACGTGTCGACCGGGGTGATTTCTTCAAAAGCGTCGCAAAACCCCCCATCACTGTAATCCCATTTAAAACACACCACCCCCACAGAGCACAGCAGGAAGCCATAGCTCACGAGCAGCAAAGGGACGGGATGCAGAAACGGCAGGCAATGCGCTGTGGAGAAGAGATCCAGCAACAAATGCGAGAGAGGGAGGTACTGATTCTGAAGAAGCGCGGGGATCTCCTGCAGGAGAGCAAACGGATCCAAGAGGAGAGTCGCCATCACCAGGCCCAGCTGGAGCTTATGATGCAGAGGAAACTAAGAGATCTGAAGTGAGTCTTAGAAAAATGTTTAGTGTTAGTTCATATTTACAGCATTTAATATTCAGCTCATACAAGCAGCCTCCAGGTTATAAACGAGATTTGTTCCCTAAGTCTGTCTTTAAATCGCATTTGTAGGTAAGTCGGAAAAATTATACTGAACATAATAATACAGTAATGATAAGTAAATACATAGGGTACTGTACTGTACCTCCACCCGACGAATCGCTGAACCCATGCAATGTTCTCACGAGCATCACAAAGTAGTGTGTGCATTAGTTATTACGAACCGTTGCACTTCATCTGAATTTTTAATATAATAGACTATTGCAGTCCTTGCATAGGTTTTAGTTGTCCGTAAGTCAGACATTTTTAACCTGGGGATTACCTGTATAAATGTGCTTGTTTTGTTTCTTATGTAGTGCATAAAAAAAAAACATTCAATTCCATTTCTACAAAGTGTGCTTTTTAGTTGATGAATGACCCTTTTCTTTGACATCCTGCTGCGTTAAACATATTTGTGTTAATATCATTGTCCTGCATTTGTTGAATGTGAAGGTATTTGTTGTTTTTTTTTCTTGCTGTAGAGCAGCGGGGCTTCCTGACAAGTACTGTAACCAGGTGGAGAGAAAGGCCCGCATTCTCCCACCTCTCACTCACTAACGGGGATAGATGAAAGATCAGCACCAACACTGCGACAGTACCAGCCTTCCTCTGCTTCTGTCACACTTTTTGACTTTCTGATCAGATTGTAGATTCTCAAGAAAAACAAATCACTTTGAAGGTATATGGCATAGAGAATAATAACAGCAAATATGGTCTAACTGTGGCTTGGCTTCCCATCCTGGGTTGTTCCCTGCCTTGCACCCGTAGCCTCCGGGACCCCCTCCAGACCCCCTGCAACCCTGAATAGGACAAGTGCTTACAGAAAATGGATGGACGGTCTAACTGTTACAGCCAAAGCAGCCCTTTGATTTCATTTGTACAATTTTATCTGACCTTTTTCACCAATTAAGTCTCTGTAGAAAACTTCTCAAGGAGCCATTATCTGCAATAATATTTTTGTTTCCTGCAGGAGGGGCTGGATTTGCATAGTTGTGACTATCATGTGTCTCCTGTAACCTGCAACACAACTTGGAAATGCTGGCAGTTAATGAGCACCTGTCGTAGGGCTTGGTTCTTTACTTAGCTGTTAAATAGTGCAAAGTTTTCATTTGGGATTCTCATTATGTTGGGTTGCTGGTTTTGTCTCTTTGTTCTGTCCTAGTAATTTTTCATAGTTTCATTTTCATTTTTTGATTCGTTCAGTATACTCAAATCTTAGATTGATACATTTGGAAATAAAATACATCCAAATATTGTGTCTCACACAGCACAATGAAATTATTTTAAACTCCTCTTAAGTACCATACTTTCTCATTCCCATGATGCATGTCCTGAATTGGCAGTCGGGCGATTGAGTCTGCTCTGTGTGATTAGCTCTGATTCATATGTACATCATTTTCTACTTGATTCAGAGCGTAGATTCTGGGGCTTGGTTTAGCCTATTTGTGTCATTCCTGGGATTTTTGTCAGGGTCATCAGCATGTCACTGGCTCTGTGGTTTTGAGTGCCGTTGTCCTGTTTGCCGGAACCATGGCCTGGTTACCTGGTGTCTTGTTCCTGCGTCCAGAGTTCTGCAGCTGGTGGGCAACTGGCTTCTTGATCTTAGGTTTGCTGTGATTATTCTGGCTGTGTGTTTCTGCCCCACTTCCTGTTTCCTGGATCCTGTTGCCTGTTGAGTCCACCATGGGACAAAACCAGATTAAAATATCCATATAACAATTCCTATGCAGTAAGAGTTGTGTTCACATTCTGGGGTACTTTTCCTTCATCCTGTAGAGCAGCAGGTCTTCCTGAAAAGCAAGCACACACGGGCCATCAGAGAGTTGGGGAAATTTTCTTGGTAGGCCGGTTTTGTGAGAACCAGTCTTTCTTCCCCAATCCCGACATTATTAACCCTATATAACAGGGGTGTCTAACTGGTGCGTGATTCCATGTTTCCATGTTGGTCGCAGGAGATGATTAAAGGATAACACTTTGTGTTCACGGCAAAATATACCAAGGGGTCCCCCCCCGGTCAGTGGCAAAATAGAGACCCGTCAAAAAGTATTGTAAATACATAGAGACCCTAACCCTACTCCCACTCAGAAGCTGCTTGTGACATTGCTTGACTTATAGAACTGCCCATATTTCTGACAACATATTCCATTTTTATTGAAAATGGAGTGTTCAGCTGGGTTCCATAAACTGTTTCCTTGGTCATTTTCTTAAAATATTTTCCTTTGAATTTGTTTAGTGAATATAAAGTACATGTAATGTCAAAATGTCTTTTTATAGTATTATCTGACATGTAACATGTCTGATCATCCAACCATGCATCCATCCTTCTTCCAGATGGCCACCCAGAACACGATCACGATAATGTCTGCGTCATAATACTGTTTATCAGTAGATATACCTTAGATTCCTCTCTCACTCCAGGACGTGCTATTAGGAAAAATAGATTGCCCATTGTGTGTCCAGATGTGGACATGTTGTGCCTTGCTATAGACTGGCTTTCCATCCAGGGCATAACCCAGCCAGGAATAAGCCCCTGTGACCCTATACTGTAAGAAGCAGATGGAATATAGGTACACTGGCAAGACTGTAAAATTTTTGATAAACTACACTGCCCGTCTAAAAAAAAAAAGTCGCCATTTGAATTTATATCAGCAAATACTTAAGAAACAGTGACTGGATCGTTATTACAGCCCAGCAACATTATGCAGCAATAAAGTGAAGTTAACCTCATTGATGGTCTCTGGGATGTGATGAAGGAGGCTTTATGGAGGTTCAACTCAGTTGTCAATACAGGATCTCGGTGAGAAATGAATGCAAATCTGGATGAAAATAAAGGGTGAGATGTTGCATAAGCTTGTGGAAACGATGCCATGACAAATCGCGACTTTTTTCTTTTTGCCCAGGCAGTGTATTATAATAAACAATCATCCTAGTGGCATAACTAATTAACTACACTTTGAAAAAAATATACAATCAAATGAGATACTGAGACCTACTTACACTGGCCATACTTTTACCATAATAGGTGTTTAGTAGAGGCGGGAGAAATAATCATTTTTACGACGCAGTGCGATGCTAACGTGACAGATTCTGCATCGATGCCAGAGAAAAAAAGAATCGATTACATTTATGGAGTTGAAAGTGAAAACGAAGTGGATAAAACATATGCTGTATGTAAGATGTGAACCACGATTAAATACTTTGGGAACACAACAAAAATGAGAAATCACATTACTCGTTTTCACCCTGAGTTAGCAAACTGCCAAAAATTTTGTGGCTAACCAGCTAACCATACAGGAAGGAAGGGCACCAGCGATGGCCCTGAACTTCAGAAGGGCAAAGAAGATCATGCAACCTGCTGCAACATTTACTGCCAATGATGTCCATTCTTATTCTGTCTTGGGAAATGCAGGCTTTCCCTTCCTTCTGCATTCCTTAAAACCAGTTGCAGTTCTAGACCATTTTGACTGGGGGAGGGGTGGACACCCAAGTAGCATACGCATTTAGGGAGGGCACGGGGTGGGCATGCATATTATCACCTGGGCACTGCCCCGCTCACAACCCCTCCCCCCCCAGAACCACCCCTGCTTGTAACAAAAGTACTAAATACCATCACAGAGATTTATCCCACCTATATAAATGCAAATAATAATAGTGATAATAATAGGCCTACATTTATTTCAGACCCAAGTAGCATACGCATTTAGGGGGGGCACGGGGGGGCATGTTATCACCTGGGCACTGCCCCGCTCACAACCCCTCCCCCCCCAGAACCACCCCTGCTTGTAACAAAAGTACTAAATACCATCACAGAGATTTTTCACAGCAATACCTGCTCTATAGTGGCTGTATTTTGAAAACTTAACTATTACGACAGAACTCTTGAGCTGTATAATGCAATAAAGTGTAAGTTAAAGCAATGTTTTTTTGTTAAATAGATTAAAATATTTTGTTTAACACATAGGCTACTGTTATGGAAATCTTGGATGAAAAAAGCAGCATTTTTTTCATGTAAGGAGACAGTTTTGATTCTGATTTTTGAACAAATAAGAATCTAAAAGGACTTAAGGTCAAATTTATCAGTGAACTTGTGTAATAAATTATGGATGAGATGCATCTTGATGCATCAAGCATCACCTTATGATTGAATCGTTATACTGTGAATCGTAATAGAATCTGATTATGAGGCTTGTGGAGATTCACAGTTTTAGTGTTCATACTGTTTATAATGGCAGTCAGGAGCAGATGGCAAAGACTAAACTAAAAAAGCATCTAAAATAAACAAAATACCATACAAGAATCGCTGACTGACAACTGAGTATATATTTAATAAAATAAATCAAAGTGTGAGATACCTTTGTGGCACCAGTGCTCATAATGACAAACGTGTCTATAGCAGAGCTGCTGTCATGATTGGATGCTAGAGGGGAGTGACGATCCATGAGCAGGTGAGGGTTGTAAAGGGGGGGCTTTATTATACAAAATATAAACATCAACAGGAACTCACAGGACCTCGAGGGGTCAAACAAGAGATGAGGAGGAACTAAAAGGAGGGACTGGAACGAAGCAGACGCAGGACAAACAAAGGATAGGTATCTTAAAGCTCTACCCTTGCACGACAGACTAACAAAGATGCCAACCACTATCACTGATCTGGGGAGTAAGGCAAGGGTAGGCGCATACATACACAGATCACAATTAGCAAACCAAAGACAGGTGTGGATGGTTAACACATTAGGCTGGGAAACAATTAAGTGATTACAGGATGACCAGGACCTCTGCTGGCCAAATGGGGACATGACAGGTCCTGACAGCTGCCCTTTTTCTAAGAGCTATGTTGTGCTGACACTGATTTTGAGACTGTGAATTGTTTAAATAGTGCTTTCAGCATAATGCTGGAGCAGGTCAGTTTAGTTTGTAGTATGTTTATCTGCCCAGGGAGCTATGGTAAGCTGACATTTAATATATGACATGACATGTGGCAAGATATTCAATAGCAAGACTGGCTGGGCTGTGTATGTGAAAGGACTGGAGCCTTGTCTGGACTGTCCTCTTGGCCACCGGGTGTCCCCAGTCACACGGTTTTCTCCAAGGTCTCTGTGGTGGACTTGGTTTGGCTCTGGGTCAAGGTGAAGCTCCGGTTCTGCTGGTGACTGGGCTCATCAGACAGGAAGTTGAAGACGCTGCGCAGGGAGCGTGAGAGGCTGTCCTTGAAGCCACGGCCCAAGCAGACGTAGAGCAGCGGGTTGAGGCAGCTGTTGAAATACGCCAGGCAGAGGGTCAGCACTTCGGCCAGCCGCAGATGGGGCATGTTGGGGGAATCCCGGGGCTCCATCAGCACCAGGATGTCAACAATGTGGAGGGGCAGCCAGCATGCCACGAAGCAGAGCACCACGGCGCAGATGATGCGGCGCGTGCGTTGGGAGCGGGCCACGCCCCCCCGGCTAGTGCTGCGTGCCCTGTTGTATACCACCCAGTGGCACATGGCGATGATGAGGACTGGGAGCAGGAACCCCAAGCTGAAACGCAGCATGATGACGATCCAGGCGGTTTGCAGGCTGTAACTGGCAGTGCATATCACCTTGTCGCCATGGTGATGCTCCGTCATGAAGACGAAGTGAGGCGTGCTGCTGATAAGCGCCAGCAGCCACACCCCCGCGCACACCCACCTCGCCCGGCCCGGCCGCCGCCAGTTCTGGCACCAGACGGGCCGGCTCACCAGGAGCCAGCGGTCCAGGCTGATGAGCACCAACAGGAGCAGACTGCAGTACATGGTAAAGTAGAGCAGCCAGCTAAGGATCTTGCAAGCCAGCAGGCCATAGGACCAGTGCTGGTCCTGGGCCAGTGGTACCATCAGTAAGGGCATGGACAAGCAGCAGAGCAGGTCAGCCAGGGCCAGCTGCAGGAACCACAGCGAGTTGACGGAGTGAGGCATCCGGAAGCCAGTGACCCACACGACCAGGCCATTGCCAGGGACGCCAAGCAGGAAGACCAGCATGTAGCAGACCAGGGCAGCCACCTGATTTGGGCCGAGCGGGGATGGGGTCTCCGGCAGCAGGTCACTGCAGTCTGTGTCATTAAGCTGGCATAAATCATCCCAGTAGTCAAGGCTGTCCATCATCAGTAACAGGGCAAGCAGACGATGATGAGGAACGAAGCTGTCACAGCAATAAACAGAAACAGTTACTGTATGGTTCCTTATTCATTTTGCAATACAGTATTGATTTTTGACAAAACATGCACTAAAAAGCAAGATCACTTCTTCTTTTGGTGCAAGCTTTGCTTGTGATGCACATCCATGCATGTGTGCATCATCCCTTTATAAAACTTGTCTAATGTGCTGTATCAGTTTTGATTTGGAAACTCATGTCTGGTCTTCATGTCGCAGATCTTTTCCATATTAGAACACATTAAATTTCAAAGTAGCCAAACTCGAACTATCGTGCATACTGACATTAACACAGTAGATGACCAGCAGTCATGTATCTTTTTTGAAAAAAGTCAATATACCATTACACTTACATAATTGAATTAGATTAGAGTTATCGAATTGTTCACCATTGCTGTATGTCGACACCCTAAAATGCATTATTTTGTAATTTAAATTATTGCTTTGTATCTGATGTTTTTATCACAATTGATATACACTCACCTAAAGGATTATTAGGAACACCATACTAATACGGTATTTGACCCCCTTTCGCCTTCAGAACTGCCTTAATTCTATGTGGCATTGATTCAACAAGGTGCTGAAAGCATTCTTTAGAAATGTTGGCCCATATTGATAGGATGGCATCTTGCAGTTGATGGAGATTTGTGGGATGCACATCCAGGGCACGAAGCTCCCGTTCCACCACATCCCAAAGATGCTCTATTGGGTTGAGATCTGGTGACTGTGGGGGCCATTGTAGTACAGTGAACTCATTGTCATGTTCAAGAAACCAATTTGAAATGATTCGAGCTTTGTGACATGGTGCATTATCCTGCTGGAAGTAGCCATCAGAGGATGGGTACATGGTGGTCATAAAGGGATGGACATGGTCAGAAACAATGCTCAGGTAGGCCGTGGCATTTAAACGATGCCCAATTGGCACTAAGGGGCCTAAAGTGTGCCAAGAAAACATCCCCCACACCATTAGACCACCACCACCAGCCTGCACAGTGGTAACAAGGCATGATGGATCCATGTTCTCATTCTGTTTACGCCAAATTCTGACTCTACCATTTGAATGTCTCAACAGAAGTCGAGACTCATCAGACCAGGCAACATTTTTCCAGTCTTCAACTGTCCAATTTTGGTGAGCTCGTGCAAATTGTAGCCTCTTTTTCCTATTTGTAGTGGAGATGAGTGGTACCCGGTGGGGTCTTCTGCTGTTGTAGCCCATCCGCCTCAAGGTTGTGCGTGTTGTGGCTTCACAAATGCTTTGCTGCATACCTCGGTTGTAACGAGTGGTTATTTCAGTCAAAGTTGCTCTTCTATCAGCTTGAATCAGTCGGCCCATTCTCCTCTGACCTCTAGCGTCAACAAGGCATTTTCACCCACAGGACTGCCGCATACTGGATGTTTTTCCCTTTGCACACCATTCTTTGTAAACCCTAGAAATGGTTGTGCGTGAAAATCCCAGTAACTGAGCAGATTGTGAAATACTCAGACCGGCCCATCTGGCACCAGCAACCATGCCACGCTCAAAATTGCTTAAATCACCTTTCTTTCCCATTCTGACATTCAGTTTGGAGTTCAGGAGATTGTCTTGACCAGGACCACACCCCTAAATGCATTGAAGCAACTGCCATGTGATTGGTTGATTAGATAACAGGTGTTCCTAATAATCCTTTAGGTGAGTGTATTTATTACTTATATACACTATCAGCTAAAGACTAAGCTTTCAAAAACCTAATATTTGATTTTTTGAGGGGAACTGAAAGGAAAAACAAAGAAGGAAGGAAGTAACTGCGGGAAAATATGTAAAAACAGACTATGTGAAAACTACAGTCCCAGAACGGTTTCATTGAAGTTTTGGCTTTAAAATAACCACCCAAAAAAAAACAACATTAACAGTCAATATAATCAATCTGCATCTGATCAAAGTGATTAAGTACCTGAAGGAGTCACACCAACTTATTCACTTAAGCTGCAAATTCTATTTTTAAAAGTCTCCTCAAATGATGCCAGTTTGCATAATAGATCAGACAGATTTAAAGAGGAACCAGTATAATTTAGCCCCTTTTGTCCAGCTGAGAACTGGACAGGAGCGGCACCATAAGCCCCATGTAAAAACCAGATCAACAGTTACAGTACGGTGCAGAAGTCTTAGGCAGCCAAAGAAAGTGTTTAAGGCTATATATCTTGGTAGTAATTGTACATTTGCTCAGAAAAAATACAATTAAATATTATAACATATGCAGATTAACAGTAACAATAACAAATAAGAATTTCATCTGTCCTCCAACAAGTTACCGGTATCTGGTTGGATGTCTAGATAAACTGCCTTTTGGTTTCCATACCTCACCTCAGCTATTCTGTGAAATCACTACATTTCTCCACCAGCTCAATTAATTAATCACCCTGATTAGTTAAATAACTCAATGGGATATTGAGTAAGCGGACAAGGTGGGGTAGCGGTCGAGTCAAAAAATACACGAGTGTATTGCATTATATCTGTCACTTTGACCGATATAATGTCATAGTTTAACACCAATATGAAGATAATTTAAGCATCATTTTCTGACTGTCTAAGACTGCGCAGTATTGTATTTAAAGCCACAGGATACAGAATTTTACTTTTTAAATCACAGTTTCATTTATCATGATATGCACAAATACTACGTAAGTATGTTTTCTGCATCCTGTTTGAAAGGTTAGCAGATAATCAACAATTATTTTTCAAAATAAACTGTAAATAGTCAACAAAACTGACCATACCTTCAGTGAAGAACAACAACAAAGGAACAGATCGTTAGTAGCCCCTACTTATGAGAGACATATATATGACTGGTTTTTCTGCTGTATCTTTGTGTAGGCAAGAAATTTCCATTGCTCCACCCAGCAGAGCCCTTGCACAATAACAGTGACATACTATCAGCTTCACAATAACTTCTTTCTCCATATAGAGTCTGGTTGTGAAGAAAGTTGTGAAGATAACCCTTCAGGATAAAAGAGTGAGCTTTTGGTTAGCATGCTGAGTCCTCATCTCCATTCTCTGCACAGTTAAAAGGCATACAGTTAAGTTAATGGCTGTCTTGAAATTCCCCATGCTATATGAGTGTTCCCTGTGGTGAACTGACATCCCTATCAGGGTGTCCCCTGCCTTGTGCTCAGTGCATCCTGGGATATGTCCCAACCTGACTGTGACTGGATTGATAGATATTCATTCATATCAAATATGTCTATGTGTTTACATGTTCTCGTACAGTATGTGTGTGAATGACCAGTGTGTGCGGGTGCCCTGGGATGAGTTTGCAACTCCATCCTTTAGAAAATGGATGGATGGATGTTCTCGTACCTGTTCTTGCCTTGACATGGGTATAAGTGGGTTATAAACTGGCATTCTCTTGTAGGGTATGATATAATGTCCAGGATTAGCCATCTCTGGATACATGTCTGTCAAATCTGTCTCTGAATATTTTTGAAAGATATGACTCAGTAGAAGCTATAGGCACAAATGTGGAATTTGTTATTGTTGACCAAGTCTATTGGTACAAAATGATTCACTTTGATTTAGCTGATATTTACAGCATTATAATACATTTTGCGATTTAATGTTTGACAAAGTCAGTCAATTTACCCTTCAACCCTAATTCTCTAATCAAAAATTTGGTTTTGCAAAATAGCTTCCTGTTTAATGCTTTTCACCTCATTCGTCAAAACTTCGTCATTCTTAAAGTGCAAAGACTGCAGATTCATATCACCAGCTGAATTTAGTTAAAGGGCGTATTTTCATTTTGCTGCGTTGATATATTAATATAACGTTGGTTCAAAACCATCTTAAAAACAGAGAAAACGGAATGTAATTTTAGACAAAACTGCCTCTTAACTGTGAAATCTCTTGTCCTGGTATTTTTTTGTCTGTCCAGGTTCCTAAGAATATAACTTGCATTCACCTTGCAAACATCTTGCTATTTTAAATATTAACATCACAAACAAATATGTGTTGTGCACAGCGATAAAGCAAGTCAACACCTCTGCCTTGTCAAGTTGTCACCCTATTTAGCGTGTTTGTTTCTCTTAAGCCGTTGTATCCGGATGAGAAGAGGGTTAAGTTAGGGTTAGGGGTTAGGGATAGGGGTTAGGGTTAGCTGAGAGCTGGCTTGTTGTCCTGCAGTATGAAGGTCCAACTTCCATGAAGTCTTCTAAAGATTTGAGGTCTAAATGACAGGCATGTAGCATGCAAGTGTGAGATGTGCATTAATGCTGAACACTATACATGAGCAGCAAACACTAATGTCCTGATATCTGTCACTCCTGCTGGGTAGACAGGTCTTTAGGTGACCTGTGTTAAATCTAAGCTTCAATACACATTTTAATGCGTTAGCTTACCCTGGGTTGTAGTATTTTTTTTTCTTTTTCTTTTATTATATACCATTAATATTTATGTATATACTTTTTATATTTGTATATTTTTTCTATTGTAATCCACTGCTGTATCAGATGTCTTTTTGTTGCACAGTGCCCTGTTATGTCCTTTTGGTTTTTTGTGTATTTGATATGCTTTGATTTTGTCAAAGTATGCAGCACTTTGGTCAGCTGGGGCTGTTTTTAAATGTGCTGTATAAATAAAATAATACATTAAATAATAAAAAAATTTAGTTAATGCATGCAGGTCCACTTTTAGTAGTTTAATGCTTTTTCAAAGCAAAATTTTCGAGGCGGGGCTAGACTTTTAACCATGAAACAGGAAATTGTAAAATTTAGAATTAAAAGGAATCTCCCACCCTGGGTGTCCCCTGCCAGGTGCACTGTGACCCCCCCCCCCCCCCCCGACAGGCTCCAGACTTGCCTCTGCCTTTTTCCGGTAAGGGGGCATGCATTAACATTAACTGTACTGTAATACGACTGCTTGGTACATGGTTTACCAAAACCTGCGTTTGACCTCCGCTGTAAGTGTGCGCGTGACCAACCCCCCTATCAGTGATGACTGATGGCAGTGAAGATCTCCGTTGCATCTATGTCCTCAGCGTGCCCGAGCTGAAACCCCTCCTGATATTTATCCTTGTCCTAGTCCAGAACGCCGATTGGGGGTAAGACATCAGGTCCACATCAGGGTGCCGCTCAGCCTCTCCTCATGAAAAAAACTGGGAGCAACATCGGTCCCCAGGTCTGCCGACGTCAGCAAAGATCTGTAATGGCAGAGGAATTTGGCAGAAGCAAAGAAAAGAGGAGGGAAAAAGGGTAGAGGCCGCGTTGGACAATTAAAACTTCAAGAAGGAAGGCTTAACATTTACACGTATTTTATTTATCAGATACTTTTGCCGAAATTTGGAAGTTGGCAAATGGCACATTGCAAAAATACTGCCTTCGAGGAGATGGCAAGGCATAAGACAGAGACTGGGCATAAGACAGAGACTGGGAAAAAGACAGAGACTGGACAAGTACTAGACACAAAATAGAGAGTAAGAGAACAGTAAAGTGGATGTGCAAAGGGGTGAGTTACAAGTGAGAAATAACATCCTCCTTTTTTTTGAAGTTACCAAACTTAGGTCTTATTGCCACAATACCAGCTTAACTTACCAGCTTAATCAGCAGTTTCCGGCCAAGATCCA